CACCAGCATTACCATCATGGTGCCTAGAGACGATCATAAATTTGCGTTTTCTCAGGTGCAAATGTTACTTGCCATCTATTTCCCCAAGCTGATGTAGCTCTCAGCTGGTGATTGATGTAGCTTGAGCAGCTGGCTTTTTCTTCTCTTGGTTTAAGTGAATGTCAGTGTACAGTCGCCCCTGCATATGCATGTGATTCGGGGAAATGAGATGAAGAAGGTCGTTGAAGTAGACATTCCATAACAATGGTCCCAGCACGCTTCCTTGTGGAACACTTGCCCCAATAGGATGCCTTGCTGATTCCGTTCCATTGAGAACTACACTTAGAGATCTACCATGAAGGTAATCACTGAGGAGACATAGCGTAGAGCCTGCAATTCCCAGTGCTTGAAGTTTTGCTAAGAGGCCCTGGTGCCACTCTCTCTCTCTCCCTCTCTCTCTTCTCTCTCCTCTCTCCTCTCTCTCTCTCTCTCTCTCTCTCTCTCTGACCCTCCTCTCCAACAGTACCCAAATTGAATTTCTCTAAAAAACCTGTCTGGGGGAGGACACTCAATACACACAAACACATACATACATACAAACATTCATACAAACACACATACATCAATACAAACTTTCATACAAAGATACATACATGCATACATACATATAAACATGCATACAAACATTCATAGAAACATATGTACATGCATACAAACATTCATACAAATATACGCACATTCATGCAAACATACATACATGCATACATACAAACATACATACATACAAACATGAATATAAACATGCATACAATTATGCATATAAACATGCATAAAATTATGTATATGAACATACATACACACATACAAACATACATACACACATACACACATACAAACACACAAACACTCTCTTTGACTCTCAGATAAAAATAAAACAACTGAAATTCCTGGAAAACTGTTGCTAATGTTTGAAGAATCTTGATTTTAAACTGATGGAGGTAAAACATTCACTGTTAAACATTCACTGTTAAACATTCACTGTTAAACATTCACTGTTAAACATTCACTGTTAAACATTCACTGTTAAACATTCACGTTAAACATTCACTGTTAAACATTCACGTAAACATTCACTGTTAAACATTCACTGTTAAACATTCACTGTTAAACATTCACTGTTAAACATTCACTGTTAAACATTCACTGTTAAACATTCACTGTTAAACATTCACTGTTAAACATTCACTGTTAAACATTCACTGTTAAACATTCACTGTTAATCATTCACTATTAAACATTCACTATTAAACATTCACTATTAAACATTCACTCTTAAACATTCACTATTAAACATTCACTGTTAATCATTCACTATTAAACATTCACTGTTAATCATTCACTATTAAACATTCACTATTAAACATTCACTATTAAACATTCACTATTAAACATTCACTGTTAATCATTCACTGTTAATCATTCACTGTTAAACATTCACTGTAAAAATGTGATTGTAAAAGACTGTAAACAAGTGAGAGATTGTGTTGTTGTCTTGCGTGACAAGGACAGTCACAGAGCCTGAAGTGTCATGACACACCAGTGTCAGCAGTGTCAGCAGTGTCAGCAGGAGTCTAGCCTCCAGGCTGACTGCACTGGAGATGTGCTGACTCTGGTTGAGGGGGGGGAGGTGAGTGGAAGGATCGACTGGACGCAGAATTACTGAATAGGTGTCCAGAGATGTCCAGTCAGTCAGTCCAGAGATGACCAGTCAGTCAGTCCAGAGATGACCAGTCAGTCAGTCAGCACAGAGATGACCAGGTAGGCAGTCGATCAGTCAAAGATGACCAGTCAGTCAGTCAGTCCAGAGATGTCCAGTCAGTCAGTCAGTCAGTCCTCAGATGTCCAATCAGTCAGTCAGTCAGTCAATCAGTCCAGAGAGGACCAGTCACTCAGTCAATCCAAAGGTGACCAGTCAGTCAGCCAGTCCACATGTGACCAGTCAGTCAGTCTAGAGATGACCAATCATTCAGTCAGTCCAGAGATGACCAGTCAGTCAGTCAGTCAGTCAGAGATGTCCAGTCAGCCGGTCAGTCCAAAGATCTCTAGTCAGTCAGTCAGTCAGTCTAGAGATGTCCAACCAGTTAGTCAGTCAGTCCCGAGATGACCAGTCAGTCAGTCAGTCAGTAAAGAGTTGACAAGCCAGTCAGTCCAGAGATGTCCAGTCAGTCAGTCAGTCGGTCTAGAGATGGCCAGTCAGTCAGTCAGTCCAGAGATGTCCAGTCAGTCAGTCATTCCAGTGATGTCCAGTCAGTTAGTCAGTCATTCAGTCAGAGATGACCAGTCAGTCAGTCAGTCAGTCAGTCAGGCAGTCAGTCAGTCAGTCAGTCAGTCAGTCCAGAGATGTCCAGTCAGTCAGTCAGTCCAGAGATGATCAGTCAACCAGTCAGTACAGAGATGTCCTGTCAGTTAGTCAGCAAGTCAGTCCAGAAATTACCAGTTAGTCAGTCAGTCAGTATAGAGATGTCCAGTCAGTCAGTCAGTCAGTCCAGCGATTTCCAGCCAGTCAGTCAGTCAGAGATGACCAGTCAGTCAGTCAGTCAATCCAGAGATGTCCAGTCAGCCAGTCAGTCCAGAGATGTCCAGTCAGTCAGTTAGTCAGTCCAGAGATGTCCAGTCAGTCAGTCAGTCAATCAGTCCAGAGATGACCAGTCAGTCAGTCAGTCAGTCCAGAGATGACCAGTCAGTCAGTCAATCCAGAGATGACCAGTCAGTCAGTCAGTCCAGAGATGACCAGTCAGTCAGTCAGTCCAGAGATGACCAGTCAGTCAGTCAGTCCAAAGATGACCAGTCAGTCATTCAGTCAGAGATGACTAAGCGTCTCTCTACCCATGGACGGCCCATACGGATTTAGCGCATCACTTAAATCTACTAATAATACAAGGCTCTGATCTCCTATATAATTCCTATAACCTTATAATTCCTATAATTATAATTCCTATAATTCTTATAATCTTATAATTCCTATAATTCCTTTAATTTTTAAAATTCCTATAATTCTTATAATTACTACAATTATTATATAATTCCTAAAATTCTTATATAATTTCTACAATTTTATAATTCTTATATAATTCATATATAATTCCAATAATTCCTAAAATTTCTATAATTGTATAGTTCCTATAATTCCTATAATAATTACTATAATTGGCGTCTCAGCAGCGACAGAAACATCCTGTGCCTGAAGGTAGCCCTTCCTTCTTTACTTCCTCCTTCCTTATTGCTTCTTCCCTCTTCCTCCTCCTCCTCCTCCTCCTCCTCTTCCTGCTCCTCTTCCTCCTCCTTCTCTTCCTGCCCTCCTCCTTCTCTTCCTGCTCCTCCTCCTCCTCCTCCTCCTCTTCCTGCTCCTCCTTTCCTCTTTCTTTGTAGTTCTTCATTACATCTATGAACGCAGCTTCCCGCTGTCATCCGCCTTCATTTCCTTCACGTCTTTTGAGAATTTTTTTTTTTTTTTGCGAGTCACGGAGCCTGCCAGCACACCGCCAGCACCGCCAGTACCAGCACCGCCAGCACACCCCCAGCACTACCACCATTACCACACTCTTCTCTCCCTCACTTCTCTGTCTCACTTCCTTCCTTCCGTCCCATTAGCTACACACGGGTAAACAAACGTGGAACATTATTATGTGACAAGATCGTAAAATATCAGCAAGATTACAACATAATAACTAAAATTCAACAAAGATATTACAATGAAAGACCTGCCTAGTCGTCTACAATATATATAGTATTATATATAAAATATAATATATATATATTTAATATATATATATATATATATATATATATATTATATAATATATAATGTTGAGAGGCTCAAACCGTGGTAGTGTGGTAGTAGCAAGACCAACGTTCTACCACTGAGACATGAACATTACAATAGTCCCGTTCGTAAGATCTTATTGTAAGCTCCGTGGCTGGGTGGAAGAGACACCTGCTGGAGTCACGACCTCGGTTGGAGGAGTTCCCGTCCATTCTCACGCTTATTCCTAACTGATTAAAGTTTACCTGGAGCAGCAGAAATGATGTACTACTTAGTGGCAAGTGTTAGATGTAAATGATATAAGAGGGGAAGAATTTAGGAAAACCGTTTAACTGTAGTTTGGTTTTAAGAAGATAGGCAGGAGATGAGCTTTTAGGAGATGAGCTTTTAGGAGATGAGCTTTTAGGAGATGTGTTGTTTTAAAGAGATGAGTCTTAAGGAGACGAGTCCTAAGGAAATGAATTTTAAGGATATGTGTTTTAAGATGTGCTTTAAAGAGACGAGTTTAGAGGAGAAGAGTCTTAAAGTTTTAAGTATAAGGAAAGTGCAGTACTGTCACTGAAATCATCATCCCTGTGCCCGTGTGAAGACACAGCTAGGAGGCGAAATATGGTGAAGGAGTTCTTCTTCGTCAAACTATTTAACAGAAGTCTATGGCAATTACACAGCCCTGGGTTACACAGAAAAAAGGGGGAGGGGGGTTACATACCCGTAACATGACGAAATAAATAAAGTGCCATAGCAGTTAGAAGAATTTATTAACATTTCAGTTTTTAGATAAAATAGGTACGTTTTCATACTTGTAATCGACACTGCTGCTTAGAATTCATTTTATGGGAAAAATTAGGCCAAATCCTGTGGTAGGGAGTATGTTGAAGAGTGGTGAGTGGGGGGAGTGGTGTTGAGAGAGGGTATATAGAAGAGTGGGACTTGGAAAAAAGTGGTGTTGAGAGGGGTGATACAGAAGAGTGGGGTGTGAAAAGTGGTGTTGAGAGGGGTGATATAGAAGACAGGGACGTCAAAAAGAGTGATAAGAGAACTAAGAATGTTCTGTGTAAGAATAACTAGTGTTATACACTATGTTTTGACACTGTCAATAATAACTTGATGCTATTCAGGGTACAGTGAGTGATGTGTCAGTGATGTTGGATGTTTTCCACGGTACAGGGGTGTGAGTTCGGCCGGTCAGCAACTCCACTACCGTGACAGGGACAGGTCTGGTGGGGCACCACAGCTCAACTACAGAGAGAAAGAGAAGGACATCCTGGACGAACTCTTCCAAAAGAGCCACTATGACAAGAGGATCAGACCCTCTGGTGTGAACGGTACAGGTGAGTGTCAGACACACACACACACACACACACACACACACACACACACACACACACACACACACACACACCACCCAAACTTACAACACACAAAAATGATAAAAGAAAAAAGAATTTTGGAGGCTCGATCCTCCGTCAGGTAATGACGACCCACAAGACACTACCTACGCAGCAAACACAGCTACATCATAGTTTATGTAGATGTCATTAGTCAAACTGTAGTTTACATGTAAATTTCTTGTATTGTCATCCAGAAACTTGGTGTAGATGTGATGAATGATTTGTGGAGCTTGTCTCATCTAATGTATAGTATACTTAAGGCACCATGGTGTATAGTATACATAAGGCACCATGGTGTATAGTATACATAAGGCACCATGGTGTATAGTATACATAAGGCACCATGGTGTATAGTATACATAAGGCACCATGGTGTATAGTATACATAAGGCACCATGGTGTATAGTATACATAAGGCACCATGGTGTATAGTATACATAAGGCACCATGGTGTATAGTATACATAAGGCACCATGGTGTATTAATGTATCAGTTAAACTAGCAGATATACAATTCACACGTTTTTAGTAACATACACATCCACGTATTATTCACGTATTTCTCGTAGTATATACACTGAAGCACTTACCCTGGTATACACACTGACGCATTGCCAGTATTATACACAGTGTATAAACACAAAAGTGATCTTAGAAGAGAGAACACAAGCTGTGATGTGTTTTCTCATGTGTATGATTGTGAACACAGTCTAGATTCAGACTTTAAGTTTAATGAATTACTTTCAGTGCTTTCAATAACAATTTAATCTCAGTAAGGTAACCAATATTCAGCTCAATAATTATCTTACCGAAAGGCTTGACAATGGAGTTGTAAAATCTACAGCGGATCTTAAACTCTTCTGGTGTTCAATCATTCAAGGTCAGATTAATGGAGGTAATGTAATGTACCTCTGGAGGAAGAAGGTTAACTTATCCCTTGTCTCTTATTTTCAGGTCCGGAAGCTATATTACACACCGTAATGATGCCTATTTCTTGTCTCTATTATATTTCACTCCTTTTTATCACTTACGTTCACGGTAATGTGTATTTCTGAAGATACACATTCCCTACATTCACATTCACACATTCTCCACATTTAACGGATTATATTAATGATGTAGCAGGAGAAGTTTACAGGTCGGTCGCGGCCGCAGCTTCTACCGAAATTATCCAATTTATTGTCAGAAATTCGCAGTTTCCAATTTATTGCCAATTTACGTTCCATTTTTATGCCAATTAACGAGGCAATTAATACATATGTCAGAGTTTTGTTCCAATTATGACCTCCGGTTCTGTAGCAATTTGTACTGAGCCTATTATGTCTTGATTTTTATGCCTATTAGTGATATATGCCTTATTTTTCACCCATTTAGAAATAATGTTTTATGCCTATTTGAAATTTATTCCCTAGAATTTGTAATGTTTTTTTCTTCAACTGTATCAACATATATTTCTCAAACTCTGCCAATTTACATCACAATTTTTCTCCTATTTTTCTTCCTATTGCCCATTTCAGATGAAATTTTATGCACATTTTCCTTCAGTTCTCTTCCCAGTAATGTCTCCAAAATGACTATTTTACACACACACACAAACGATATATGTATATATATATATATACATATACATGTATATATATATATATATATATATATATATATATATATATATATATATATATATATATATATATGTATATATATATAATATATATATATATATATATATATATATATATATATATATATAATATATATATATATATATATATATATATATATATATATATATATATATGCAATAAGATCACAGTAAACAGGTGATTTTAGAATATGCAAAACAACCACTCTGAAAGAATAGAAAAATTCCAAGCGCTTTCGTGACTACTCACATTATCAAGGAACTATGAAAGTAAAGCATCCAAGGAAGCTATATAAGGGATCTGGCCAACACCTCACTATCAGATCCCACAACGGTTAAACACCTGACGCGCGGCGACCCAACTGGACAGGTCCTTTGCACAACTCACCCACAAACTATTCTACCCAAGAAAATTTAAAAATTATTATTTGTCCAGTGTATTATTAAATTCTTCCCAAATTCTATTAATTATAAATGGATCTAATTTATATAAACCAAAAGAAATATTCATATTATTGTCAAAACTGCTTTTTATGAAACAAGATTCAATTATATTCCTGTCGACCATAGACTTGCTTGATACTACTTTCTCAACTTTTTGAAAATCAATTGGATGGCTAAAATCTCTTACATGAATAAATAGAGCATTGGAATCTTGTCCAGTTCTAATGCTATATTTATGTTGTTTTAATCTTAGTTCGAGATTTTTACCAGTTTGACCGTAATAAACTTTATCGCAAATTTTACAAGGAATCTTATAGACACATCCATCAGCATTTTGGGGGGAATTCTTAATCAAAAGTTTTTTACTGTATCAAGATTTTTGAATACAACTTTAATATTAAAAGTCTTAAGAAGAGAAGGCATATCAACCAAGTTTTCATGGTAAGGGAGAACCAACATATTTTTAGTTGAATAAGGCTGGTTGTCCCTTTTTGGATTGTAAAAAGTATTTCTAGCAACTTTAAAAGATTTATCAATTACATTTCTTGGGTATTTTAAATCATTACCTATTTCATAAATTTTGGATATTTCCTCATCTATGAACTCAGGACTACAAATTCGTAAAGCTCTCAAAAACATTGATGAGAAAACAGACAGTTTGACTCTATCTTGATGCGAGGAATAATAGTGGACATAGGAACAGTTATTTGTAGGTTTTCTGTAAATTTTAAATGTTTTAATTATTAAGGGTAATAATGAATTCAAATTTAAAATTTACAGAAAACCTACAAATAACTGTTCCTATGTCCACTATTATTCCTCGCATCAAGATAGAGTCAAACTGTCTGTTTTCTCATCAATGTTTTTGAGAGCTTTCCTGAGTGGGAAGAATTTAATAATACACTGGACAAATAATAATTTTTAAATTTTCTTGGGTAGAATAGTTTGTTGGTGAGTTGTGCAAAGGACCTGTCCAAGTTGGGTCGGCGCACGTCAGGTGTTTAACCGTTGTGGGATCTGATAGTGAGGTGTTGGCCAGACCCCTTATATAGCTTCCTTGGATGCTTTACTTTCATAGTTCCTTGATAATGTGAGTAGTCACGAAAGCGCTTGGAATTTTTCTATTCTTCCAGAGTGATTGTTTTGCATATATATATATATATATATATATATATATATATATATATATATATATATATATATATATATATATATATATATATATATATATATAAATATATATTATATATATATACATATATATACATATATATACATATATATATATAAACACATAAGATAGAGTGGCAAGAGAAATAGAATATTGAAACAGCCTCCAGGAGGAATTGCAATATTTTTCCCACGAAGGGTCGTTGTTTACCTGGTTCTCCGAGGCTGTGGGTCCCCCACACAGTCTCACAGTTTTATTTCAGGTTGGGTTCGTGTCTGCTGGTGCGCAGTTATCACCGGTCCTCTGCATTCAAAAGCATTCAACTGAGCATTTCTTATGCATTATTCAATATTCTCTCTCTCTCTCTCTCTCTCTCTCTCTCTCTCTCTCTTTAATGTACATGCAGAAGTCAACGTTCTTCATGCATCTATTATGCAATATACATCTACGATGCAATATACATTATACTTTATGTATTTTGCTAGGCCTTAAAGCGTATATCATAGGAGAGAGTTTACCTGATCGTGAAGAACATTCACTATTATTAATAACACATTACGAAAGCTTTTTACGAAATGTTTTCGTAAATATACAGCAACTACAGTAATTCTGGGTAATGTAGAGAAGAGGAGAAAGAGGATGTAGTGGAAATGGAGAGCAAATGAAAGACTGGAACAGAAGTTTTGTTCTCCAGTTTAAAACACAAGACAACACAACACAACACAACACAACACAACACAACACAACACAACACAACACAACACAACACAACACAACACAACACAACACAACACAACACAATACAACTGTTTGTTGTCAATACTAAATAAGTCTAATTACTGGGAGAAAATTATTTGAGACCAGCGTTTATCTGGGGGAGATATACAAGGCGAGAAAACTTTTGAGATTGAAGAATTTGTGTGCTTATGGAGCTAAGGGAAAGACGGTGGTTAAGGAGGGTAAAAAAAAATGTTTGAGAAAATGATCAAAATAATTTGGAGAAACTACTGAATGTATGTAATGCAGTGGAGGTGCGACGTCATACAGGGAGACAAGATGGGATGCGATCTGTTAGGAAGGTAGAGAAGGAAGTGAGTGTGGAGGAAATGATCAGAATGTAAGTGGGGAAAAGGACAGGGAATGTGTGAAATAAGAGAAGATAACACTAGTGTAAACATTAAGTGCACACATGATACACATGTGTCTCAAGTCTAACCAGGTTCACGAAGACTGGCAGAGACAACTTGCTGTTCCACTGTACAAAATAAAGAGACGGGGAGAGGGGGGGGTAGACAAGATAAACAGAAGAACCAGATAAACATAATGCCAGAAGCGTGTTTAAAAGAATGATTTGGAAAGAGAGAACTTAGAATTGCAGCCTCCGGTAGTGGAACGCAGTAGTGAATGAGACGAGAGCTTCGTACGTTTGTGTCAAAAAGAGTTTAAAAAAATTTTACAAAGCGAGTGAGGCCCATGTTAAGGCTTGTAGTAAAAAAGGTTATTTTTTTAATACTACGACCGTCTCCCAAAGGTAGAGTGGCTTGATAAAAGAGGAAACACTTTCACTATCATTCATTCAATCACCGTCTTGCCAGAAGCGTACTGACAACGCCATTCAGATGACCCTCCGAACTGCAGCATCCAAGATCTTCCTTCAAGAAGAGACCTGTTTTAAACAATAACT